AAAAAAAAATAAAAATAAAAAAAAAAATTTATGCTTACCTAAGTCGAATTGACCGTCCAATTTGTTCACCGGATATCTGATGATCCATCCGGTCAATCCGGTGATATAAATAGATCAATCCAAATCTGGTCAAATTTTGGATGGATGACCGGATATCCGGATTGATTGGATTCAGAGCACACCTCTAATCTAGGGTATGTAATAAGATTTAATGTTTGGATTTATAGATTTCTAACTGGCTTGATCAGCAGAAAGATGATGATACACATTAGGTTATTATGCATGGATAGGTTAGTGATAATACTTTAACTTACCTACTTTGGATGATGCTAAACTAGGTTAAACATTAGATACAATACTCTGATTACATTTTAAATGATATCACTTATAAAATAAATCATTATAGAATAAAATTATCATTATTCGTTAGATTTGATAATGATCAGTAAAATATATTATGGCATAGGTACTTTTATCTGACAAAAGTGTTGATTCACATATTTGGATATTTCAGAAATCATCAAAGCAACTAATATTTATCCGGCTGTTATTCTTACTAATGCAGATCTAGCAGTTGATACTACAATTCGTCAAGTATTTACCACAACTTATCCAATTCACTGTGCCTATAATATTACTCAGAATTTACATAAGAATCAAAGAAAGGTACTAGGGAAATATATAAAAGTTTCTTGAAGACTTTTATCAATGTTGTAATAGTTTAGAAGAAGTTATCTTTTAGCAATGATTTGATAAGCTAATTCAAGATTATTCTAATGCATGAACTTATTTAAAATTTTTTATAAATTGAAAATATATTAGACGCATTGTTTTACATTTTTTAACTTTGCAGGAGGCATGATTGCTACATCATGTGTAGAATCTGTAAATGCAAGCTTGAACGTTTATTATATTATTCAAATATTTTACTATGTGAACTTATAACCAAAATTAATAGACTGCTAGATATTTAAGATAAGGAGAATGAGTATAAATTTTAGCAGCTCGCAATTCTGGCTATTAGAAATTAAAACAAAGGAAATATCCTATTTAATAATATAGATAATTGTATCAAAAGATTTCTTACACTGACAATCTTACAAATGCAATGAAATGAGATCAATCAATCAGTTTATTATACTGCAAATATTATTACAAGGGAAGTTTCAGAACTTCTGATCAAAACATCGAATTAAATAATAATTAGGGAGAAATCAATGTTGATGATACATAAATTACTTTTAACCAGCTAATCGATTTTGTAGGATCAGAAAATATATAAGAGATATGAACAATTAAAGTTGATAATACATTGAAAGGCTTACATCATATTTTATTGTTAAAGAATTCATCTCACATATGTTCTTGCCTTCCTATTATATGATGTAGTATAGTATGTAAACATTATTTTCAATTAATGCTAAATACAAGCTCAGAAATATTTCATATCAGAATGTTATCTTCACGCTGATATTGTAATAAGGAAAATGGAGTAAAAGAACCTTTTATAGTTGTGGACAAATATTCTCAAAACTAATCTATTAAAGTTACTACTAATTGTACAGTTCCATATTTGTATCTTTTTAAACAAGAAGCAGATTTTAAAGAAGAAAATTTAATGATTCTTAAACAAAAGATAACATATGAAAATATTAGTGGCATATATAAGAAAGCATTTAATAAGCATTACAAAGCAAGGAAAAATCTTAAGAATTAATGAAAATGCTTCAAGATTTTGTGAAAAATTATATTGATGATTGATCAGATTTAGAAGATATGCAGCAGGATGATCACTTAGATAAAGAGAATATTGATCCATCCATTTGCCAATTGCAAAATCTAAAAGCTTGTTATGATAAAGGCCATCTGGTTGATACTAAAAGGTATAAATCAGAATATGAAGTGTCAAAGTCAAAGCAAATCAACGACAATGTAAAAAATGTAAAGGTATTAGGCACTATGGTAATATTTTATATAACCCATTTTTTAATATAAATTTAAATATTTTTTAAAAAAAAATTCAAAAAAATTATTTAATTTTGAAAAAAAATACCTTTTTTATTTTGATAAAAATTTAAAGCTCACTTAACTTAATATTACTATCTAGTATATTCGCTTTTTTATTTATATATATCTTAAATTCTTTAAGATATTATTTGAATTAATTTGATATAAACATTAATTTCAATTTCATTCTATACTATCTTTATTTTCTCATAAATGTTCTTTATTTCTTATCAGTTCATCTGAGTGTTGTAATCTTCTATCTAGTTCATTTTACATATATTTGATGAGATTTAAATCAGGTGATTATGCTGGCAAATCTAATACAGTAATATTATTTCTTTCAAGCTAATCTTTTGTCATATAAGCCTTATATTTCAGATCATAATCATGTTGAAAAATAATATCATTAACATTATAATCATAATATTTAAGAATTTGTAATAAATCCTCTTCTAATATTTGACAATAAAGAACAATATTCATTCTATAATTCTATTATTAATTTTACATAAATAACCAATTCTGTGAGATATAAAACATTCCTATACAAAAATTCCTTCACCTCCAAACTTTACTGTTCCTTTTACATATTGATCTTTCAATAGTTCCTCTTTTTTTTAAAATATTCCCTTCTATCTGAATCAAATAAATTAAACTTACTTTCATCTGACTATACTACTTTACACCAATCATCAAAATTCTAATTTTTATATTTTTTGCAAATTCTAAATATGTTTTTTTATATCGAGATAATAACAATAGTTTTTTGCTTTAACTGCTGATTTTAAATCATTATATTTAAATACTCCTCATATTGTTGTAGGATAAACCTCAAATTTATAATCCTATTTCATTTTTTTGAACTTGAACTACGGTTAAATACTCTTCACTAATAATATAATAGATAACTCAATGCTCTTCTTAATTTATTAGAATAGGAAAACAGCTGGACTTTAATAAGTCTTTTGCACTTTTTATTTTTTTATATTTATTATAAAGGTGTAATATAGTACTATTATTAACTTTATATTATAATGCTAGTTCAGGTTAAGTATAAACTACTTCTTTTAACAAAATGCAAATATGAATTCTTTGCTCTTTAGTAAGACTAATAATAATGTAAATAAAAGTTAAAATTAGAAAGTATGGCATTTTTGACATTTTGGATATTTGCTTTAAAGAATTTAAAAAAAAGATTTTTTTTATTAAAATTAAATATAAAAAAGGAAATTGCATAACCTATTATATAAAATTGATTGATAATAATTCATGTTATATAGTTGCATTTCTTTTCTCATTAAATTTAATAAATTTTAAGCATTGAATAAAAATATAATTAGAGCAGCTATGATATAAATTTTTATATATAACATGCATATATATTCAAAGTTTCAATATAAAATTTTATATTGATCAAATCATTAAATATACAGAAATTAAAGTTTGAATCCTGGTAATTTACTTATAAAATATAATTAATTTTATTTTTATAAGTAAATTTTTAGGATTTAAACTTTAATTTCTGCATATCTAATAATTTGATCAATACAAAATTTTATATATTGAAACTTTGAATATATATGCATGTTATATATAAAAATTTATATCATAGCTGCTCTAATTATATTTTTA